GCAGCAGCAGCAGCAGCAGCAGAGGCAGCAGCTGTCCGGCTCCCCGCCGCCCTCCGCGCAGCGCGGCGGAAGGAATAGAGCGCCCAGCCCGTCCCGACCCGCCCGGCCGGCGTTCCCGCAGGCAGCCGGGGCCGGGGCGGGTCGGGTCCCCGACGGCCGGAGCCCGGGCGCCCTCCGCCCCTCGCCCCGCTCCTCCTCCGCGGATGGGCGCGCTGCCGCCGCCCGGCTTCCCCCGGCCCCGCCGCTCCGGCTGAAGAAACTTGGGACGGCGGCGGCCTCCGCCTCCCCGCCGCGCCCCGCCCGGGCTGCGGGCGACCCTTCCCCGCGCCGCCGCGCCAACTTCGCGGGGGGACCCGCCCGCCGCAGGACTCCGTGCCGGGGCCGCCGGCCCCTCGGCGGGGACCCCCTGCCCCTGGCCTCGGTTCTGGGGAGGAGCGGGGGGTGCCCTGGATGGCCCTGCGCACTGGGACGGCTTGGTTTGGGCAGGTCCTGCGCAGAGTTTCCCGGCTTCAGGGCACCTGGTCCCGGCGCTCCAGCAGCCTCCTGTGCCTCTCTTCTTCCCAGGAGCCCGAGCAGGCGGGCGGGGAGCGACCGCCGCCGCAGCACAAGCTGCCCCGGAGCGGCGGCAGCGGTGGCGGCGGGCGCCGCCGGCCCCCCCGGCAGCTGCTCCCCTGCTGTGGCTGCTGCGGCCTGTCGGAACCCCGGGCGGCCAGGGGGGGACATGGTCCCCTCACTCGCCCCTTGCTGGCGGCCATGAAGAGGCAGAACGTGCGGACCCTGTCCCTCATCATCTGCACGTTCACCTACCTGCTGGTCGGGGCTGCCGTCTTTGATGCCCTGGAGTCCGACAACGAGATGCGGGAGGAGGAGAAACTCAAAGCCGAGGAGATTCGGCTCAAAGGAAAGTACAACATCACCAGCGAGGACTACCGGCAGCTGGAGTTGGTGATCATGCAGTCCGAGCCGCACCGCGCCGGAGTCCAGTGGAAATTCGCCGGCTCCTTCTACTTTGCCATCACGGTGATCACAACCATCGGTAAGTGACTCCCCTCGGGGCGACCATGTGGGGCCAGAGCCAGGGCTACGGCAAAAGCTTCCCGGGCTGGAAAAATGGGAGAGGGGCAGGGAGGCTGTGGCATGCAAGGTGTCTGTGCCGGATGAGTTTTTCCTTCCCTCCTGTGTTATGTAATTAAATGCTCTACTTGGGCACTTGTTGGACTTGACGATGTCCCACACCTCTTCTCCTGGAGATGGATCCTCTCTCTCCTGGGTGGGACTGGAGAAGAGTGGGTCTGGTCTAGCTAGGGGCATTGGCACTGGCCAGGTGGCTACCATGATTCTGTGGCTTGGATGGCGAGGAAGAGAGGGGAAGAGGCAGGGTGACACTCCTGGGGCTCCCCTCAGGAAGAAGGCCCTGCTATCACACTCCTTCTTCCACCTTAAGAGACGGGGAAAATTTAGGCAAAAGGCAGCTGGAGGAGAATGAGAATGATGAGGGCATGGGAACTGGATCAGCTGGGAAAACCCTTAACGTAGCCAAGCGTGGATAGACCTGCTTTTACAAACTTTGGTGTGGTGTTGGCAAGGGCTGTGGTGGTGACTCCCACAGCTGTGKTCAAACCCTGGGCATTGCCAATATGTTCCTGGAGTTTCTGTTGCAGCTGGAGTGTTTGATGTGACAACAGGTCACAGTTTGCATCTCCCCTTTGTGGGCACATGGTCTGACAGGCAAAATGATTCCTGCTGTCACATCCGTGCTGCCCAGCTTCCCAGATGTGCCTTTTCCCAGGACRGTCAAGGGACAGTCAGTGGACACAGCCACGGGCTGTCATTTTRTACTTCCCTGCATCCCACAGCTAAAACTGAGCATTTATCACAAAGTTTGCTTCTCTGCCATAAAAATAAAAGCCACGATGGTTAGAGGCTGTGGAGTGCACGCAGAACTGTGCTACAGCTCTGGTTTTGGCTGGATGAACAAGTTTGCTTGTTCTGGTTTTGTGGTTTTAAGGTGGGTTTACTAAGGCAGTTGATAATGTTCTCCAAGAACTTCTGGATGCTCCCCCTTAACATCTGTRGAGATCTGAAAAGACTCCTCTGGGTCAGTGACTGTTTGATAGTGCTTTGTACTGAATAGGACAGGAAAGTAGCCTCTTAGTAATACAGAATACTTGGTCTTTTTGCCATTTAGGGATTGTTACAAGAAATTATCACACTGCCACCTGAAGATACTGAGTTTTCAGCAGAACATGCTGTCCACTGCCCATTGAAAAGTGTCTGCTTGYGTTTGTATTTGACTATATTGTACCCGGGGCAGTAAAAAATTTCCTTTGAAAGACCATCTGACAATATAATGCCTTTTTGCCCTTACAAAGATAMGATTTTTAAGGATTAATTTCCTCTTCCTCTTTGTTATTAGGTATATTAATATGAATGCATATTAACAAGTTATTGAGTATAAATGTAACTTTGGCTGATGATTTGTATTTCCCGCTGCTCATTACGATGTCAGMACTCTCTTTGCTCCTCTGACCACTGAGTCTCTCTTCCTCAACCTGTCCCTTGCCACTTATTTGTGCTAAATGAATACTGCTCTGTCGTGCTCCTCTGTGTTACGACAAGCCTTCCACACACACGCCTGTGTACTCATGGTGCCCTGTACTCCTGCCTAGGAGCTGCCTGCAATACTTGSCTGCGTTCTTAAGCTGAATTGGTGATAGGTAGAAAGGGCTGTTTGTACAGTAGTTCACTGCTTTGATGGTATTTTACCCAGAAACAAGTACAACTTGCTTGRGAAGTTGTAGCATTTTCTCCTGCAAAGGGCTGGGATTTGTTTAGAAAGCTCGGAGTGCCTCAGCACGCAGAGGAGAGAATGCATTTCTGTAGGCAGAGGCGCTTTGGGATGTCTGAATTGTTTAAATTTAAAAATGTGTATAGCAACGGGGAACCACTGGGAGGAAGAGTAATAATAAAGAATGATGCAGAAAGGCAGACATTCTGTAACAATTGTTCGTTTGGGAAGCGCTGCTCTGGGAGGATATCTGATCCGTCTTTCAAAAGTTTATTAATAGTTGCTCTCTGCATCTTGCCAAATGCACTTCTATTTTTTGTACCATCTCTTCCGTGCTAAAGTGGCTTCGTATGTTATCTGATCTATTGCTGGTCTGTAAAAGTAAGAATGGAAGATTTTTCTTTAATTTCTTATTTATACTAAACTAATTTGTCTCACAGAGGAAAAAAAGACTTTCTTTAAGTTCTCAGGCAAGTAAGTGTTCTTATCTATGTTTTTTATACAGGGAAGTGATAAAAAATGTTCATATTAATCTTTTCTGCTGATCCTTTTTTTTTCCAAATCTGTATGTGTACTCTCATATACATGTTTCTCCCTCTAAAATCTTCCGGACAGACTTCCAGAAGCACATGCAGTGAGGCATGTGTTGGTGTACGTGCTATGCTCAGTAGGTACTCCTGCAAAAGTGTCTCTTAAAAATAAAAGAGAATGAACAAAGACCTTGCCTAATCTGGAAGAGTACCTCTATCTCCACAAAACTTCCCTTCAGACAAAACAGTGATAGGAATTGGCGGACCACAAAGTCGAGCGATATGCATATGGCTACAGACTAATTTGTGTCTAACTTAATTGTACTCCRCGATATTGCCGTGCTAGCAACATGTCTGGAGTGATTACCCCTTCGCCGTGCTGATTTCAACTACTGTGGCTTTAATTTAATCAAAGGCGTTCGTGGTTGGCCATGGCCCATCAGTAGCCGGGAAGAGGCCGGTGCCTCTCTGCCAGTGCTGGGGGACAGGTCCAACAGTGTCCCCAGACCGTGGGACAGGTGCCCCATTGCCCCAGAGATGTGGGGCTGAAGGGACAGCTCTTGTAGCGGTGGTGCTGAAGGGACAGCTCCAGCAGTGTCCCCAGTCTATAGTGCTGAAGGGACAGCTCCAGCAGTGTCCCCAGTCTATAGTGCTGAAGGGACAACTCCAGCAGTGTCCCCAGTCCATCGTGCTGAAGGGACAGCTCCGGCAGTGTCCCCAGTCTATAGTGCTGAAGGGACAGCTCCGGCAGTGTCCCCTGTCCATCGTGCTGAAGGGACAGCTTCGGCAATGTCCCCTGTCCATGGTACTGAAGGGACAGCTCCAGCAGTGTCCATGGTGCTCGGCGTGTAAGTCCAGCAGTGTCCCCAGTATGTGGTACTAAAAGGACAGCTCCGGCAGTGTCCCTACACCATGGCACTGAGGGGACAGCTCCAGCTGTCCGTGCTGCTGAAGGGACAGCTCCAGCAGTGTCCCCAGTCTATAGTGCTGAAGGGACAGCTCCAGCAGTGTCCCCAGTCTATAGTGCTGAAGGGACAGCTCCAGCAGTGTCCCCTGTCCATGGCACTGAAGGGACAGCTCCGGTAGTGTCCTCTGTCCGTGGTACTGAAGGGACAGCTCCGGAAGTGTCCCCACACCACGGCACTGAAGGGACAGCTCCGGCAGTCTCCCCATTCCGTGGTGCTGAAGGGACAGCTCCGGCAATGTCCCTTGTCCATGGCACTGAAGGGACAGCTCTGGTAATGTCCCCACACCATGGCACTGAAGGGACAGCTCCGGCAGTGTCCCCTGTCCATGGCACTGAAGGGACAGCTCCAGCAGTGTCCCCACACCATGACACTGAAGGGTCAGCTCCAGCAGAGCTCTCGGGCTGTGGTGCTGAAGGTTTGGCTCCCGTCTGTCGCTGCAGCTCCATGCTCTCCTCCCCGGGCAAGCTCTGCAGCTTGTTGCTTCCTGTGGAAACGTGTCATGAAAGACCTGTTTGGAAGGGAYCATGAACACCTGAAGCTCTACTGTATGAGGAAAAGTGTCAAGATTTGGTCAAGTCTCTCATTTCCTCTGATCTATGGCATTTTATTCTTATTGGCGGGTGGTTAGGGGTTGTTGCTCACTTGTCAAGGTGAGTACCAAACTAAAAATGTGAGGGCTAATCAAGTATATGGAAACAGGGTCTTTTTTTCATCTGGGTCACAACATACTTTTCTCCTCTCCAGGTGCAATGTTCTTTCTTTCCTTCCTTCCTTTCTTCTTTTATTTATTTATTTTTCTTTTTAACCTACACAACAGTGGAAAGGTTGACAACAGCAGGTGCTATGACATTCAACGAGTCTGCTCTTAAAATTCTCTCCCCCTCCCCTCTTCCCCCCTCCCCCCACCTTCTACAAAGTTTTGGCTATGTTTGAATTCTGTGAAAGTTTTTAGGTGATCAAAAAGAACTAATAAGCTTTTCTCGGTTCTCACCAGGTGCTGAATTTATTTCGGGATTGTTCTTGATTCAGAGTCAGCTAGTATGAATTCCCATCCATTTCCAGTTACACAGTCAAAATGATGAAAAAGACTGGTTTGATGAAGTTCTTCATCCASCTATTTGTCTTTCATGAGATACACTGTAGAATATGCCACAGAGTTCATCTAAAGGCTTGATACTATGAATGTAAACGCCAGCTTCCAGAAATAAGGGGTTATTTCTAGGATTCCTGCTAAGTTTTAATGCCCTTTTCTACAGGTCTATAAGAGTCATTAAACTRCTTCTGTGTAAGCAGGTGTCAGCACTGTCAAAATGTGTTATTGGTATGGATATCGCTCTATCATTTAGGCCTYAAAGGGTGATAGTCATACTTGATTTAGCACCACCGAGCTCTAGTAAACACTGAATATTTCTGGAGGCTTGTGCAGAATATAAAGAACTGAAAGCTGTTTGTATCACCCTAAAATGAACTGAAACAACAAACAGATTGAAGATTGTTATTTATTTATTTTTTTTTCTGAGAAGTGACTGCAAGGGGAGCAAAATTAAGGCAGCTTGTGCTGTGAATTACTGGTGTMTTTTTCTAGATTTTAGACCTTTGTTTTCAATGTTGAATCTACTATAAGCAGTGACTGAATTATTAAGACAAAAGATTTTTTTTAAAAAATGTCGTGCAATACCTGTAATGGTGAATGGAACATCCACCTATTGGCAACTGTTTGGCTACTGAGTAGCCAAACACTCAGGAACTG